CCCCCCACAGCCGCCCAGCAGGGGGCGCTGCAACGCGACCCCTACGGCCGCCGCGTCGCTCGCGCCATCGACCTGGAGCACTTCCTGCGCCGGCGGCCATCTTGGAGGACCAAGCCCCGCCCCCCAGCACCGCTCTGGCCCCACTCGTCTGCTCTGGAGGACTGAGGCCTCTATGGGCCCCTTTGGGCCCCATCAGTGGCCTTTTGGACCCATAAGTGCCCCTTGGGGACCCATAAATGGCCCTTTGGGACCCATAAGTGACTCTTTGGGACCTATAAGTGACTCTTTAGGACCCATAAGTGACCCTCTGGGACCCATAAGTGACTCTTTGGACCCATAAGTGCCCCTTTGGGACCCATAAGCCCCACTTTTGGACCCATAAGTGCCCCTTCTAGACCCATAAGTGCCCTTTGGGACCCATAGGTGACTCTTTAGGACCCATAAGTGACCCTCTGGGACCCATAAGTGACTCTTTGGACCCATAAGTGCCCCTTTGGGACCCATAAGCCCCACTTTTGGACCCATAAGTGCCCTTTGGGACCCATAGGTGACTCTTTAGGACCCATAAGTGACTCTTTGGACCCATAAGTGCCCCTTTGGGACCCATAAGCCCCACTTTTGGACCCATAAGTGCCCCTTCTAGACCCATAAGTGCCCTTTGGGACCCATAGGTGACTCTCTAGGACCCATAAGTGACCCTCTGGGACCCATAAGTGACTCTTTGGACCCATAAGTGCCCCTTTGGGACCGATAAGCCCCACTTTTGGACCCATAAGTGCCCTTTGGGACCCATAAGTGACTCTTTAGGACCCATAAGTGACCCTCTGGGACCCATAAGTGACTCTTTGGACCCATAAGTGCCCCTTTGGGACCCATAAGCCCCACTTTTGGACCCATAAGTGCCCCTTCTAGACCCATAAGTGCCCTTTGGGACCCATAGGTGACTCTTTAGGACCCATAAGTGACCCTCTGGGACCCATAAGTGACTCTTTGGACCCATAAGTGCCCCTTTGGGACCCATAAGCCCCACTTTTGGACCCATAAGTGCCCTTTGGGACCCATAGGTGACTCTTTAGGACCCATAAGTGACTCTTTGGACCCATAAGTGCCCCTTTGGGACCCATAAGCCCCACTTTTGGACCCATAAGTGCCCCTTCTAGACCCATAAGTGCCCTTTGGGACCCATAGGTGACTCTCTAGGACCCATAAGTGACCCTCTGGGACCCATAAGTGACTCTTTGGACCCATAAGTGCCCCTTTGGGACCCATAAGCCCCACTTTTGGACCCATAAGTGCCCCTTCTAGACCCATAAGTGCCCTTTGGGACCCATAAGTGACTCTTTAGGACCCATAAGTGACCCTCTGGGACCCATAAGTGACTCTTTGGACCCATAAGTGCCCCTTTGGGACCCATAAGCCCCACTTTTGGATCCATAAGTGCCCCTTCTAGACCCATAAGTGCCCTTTGGGACCCATAGGTGACTCTCTAGGACCCATAAGTGACCCTCTGGGACCCATAAGTGACTCTTTGGACCCATAAGTGCCCCTTTGGGACCCATAAGCCCCACTTTTGGACCCATAAGTGCCCCTTCTAGACCCATAGGCACCACTTTTGGACCCATAAGTGCCTCTTTTTAGACCCATAAGCACCACTTTTGGACCCCTAAGTGCCCCTTTTAGACCCATAAGTGCCCCTTTGGGACCCGTAAGTGCCCCTTTTAGCCCCATAAGTGCTCCTCCAGCCCCATAAGTGCCCTTTTTAGACCCATAAGTGCCCCTTTGGGACCTGTAAGTGACTCTTTGGACCCATAAGTGCCTTTCTTAGACCCATAAGTGCCCATTTTGGACCCATAAGCTCCCCTTTGGGAACCATAAGTGCCCCTTTGGACCCATAACTGCCCCTTTGGACACATAAGTGCCTTTTTCAGACCCATAAGTGCTCCTTTGGGAACCATAAGTGCCCTTTTAGACCCATAAGTGACCCTTTGGACCCATAAGCATCCATTTGGGACCCATAAGTGCCCCTCCAGCCCCATAAATACCCATTATGGACCCATAAGTGCCCCTTTCAGACCCATAAGTTCCTCATTGGGACCCATAAGTGGCCCTCCAGCCGCATAAGTACCCATTATGGACCCATAAGTTCCCCTTTGGGACCCATAAGTGCCCCTCCAGCCCCATAAGTACCCCTTTGGACCTATAAGTGCCCCTTTTAGACCCATAAGTACCCCTTTCAGACCCATAAGTACCCCTCTAGCCCCATAAGTGCCCCTCTAGCCCCATAAGTGCCCCTTTGGGACCCATAAGTGCCCATTATGGACCCATAAGTGCCCCTTTTAGACCCATAAGTACCCCTTTCAGACCCATAAGTGCCCCTCTAGCCTGTAAGTGCCCATTATGGACCCATAAGTGCCCCTTTGGGACCCATAAGTGCCCCTCTAGCCCCATAAGTACCCCTTTCAGACCCATAAGTACCCCTCTAGCCCCATAAGTGCCCCTTTGGGACCCATAAGTGCCCCTCTAGCCCCATAAGTACCCCTATCAGACCCATAAGTGCCCCTTTGGGACCCACAAGTGCCCCTTTCACCCCCATAACCGCCCCATAGAACCCCATTGACGCCTCCATTGACGCCTCCATCGCCGCCCTCACGCATGCGCCGCAGCCCACTGAGGGCGGAAGTGCGTCATCACGCACGCAGCGCGCCCTCACTGAGGGCAAGAGCGGCTCCGCGCATGCGCAGTCGCCTCCCCCCCCCGCCCGCCATTTACCTCAGCGCTTAAAGGGACCGGACGCGGCTCTTTAATGGGCAAAAGAGAGGTAAAATGGGGCCAAAAAGGGGGATTTTGGGGTATAAATGGGTTTAAGGGGGGGATTTTGGGGTATAAATGGGTTTAAGGGGGGGATTTGTGGTCTTAAAGGGGTTTAAGGGGGGGATTTGTGGTCTTAAAGGGGTTTAAGGGGGGGATTTGGGGTCTTAAAGGGGTTTAAGGGGGGGGATTTGTGGTCTTAAAGGGGTCTAAGGGGGGGATTTGGGGTCTTAAAGGGGTTTAAGGGGGGGATTTGGGGGTTTAAAGGGGTCTAAGGGGGGGATTTGGGTTCTTAAAGGGGTCAATGGGGGGGATTTGGGGACTTAAAGGGGTCTAAGGGGGGGATTTGGGGTCTTAAAGGGGTCTGAGGGGGGATTTGGGGTCTTAAAGGGGTCTAAGGGGGGCATTTGGGGCATTAAAGGGGTCTAAGGGGGGGATTTGGGGTCTTAAAGGGGTCTAAGGGGGGGATTTGGGGGTTTAAAGGCGTCTAAGGGGGGATTTGGGCTCTTAAAGGGGTCTAAGGGGGGGATTTGGGGTCTTAAAGGGGTCTAAGAGGGGGATTTGGGGGTTTAAAGGGGTCTAAGGGGGGGATTTGGGGTCTTAAAGGGGTCTAAGGGGGGGATTTGGGGTCTTAAAGGGGTCTAAAGGGGGGATTTGGGGTCTTAAAGGGGTCTAAGGGGGGGATTTGGGGTCTTAAAGGGGTCTAAGGGGGGGATTTGGGGGTTTAAAGGGGTCTAAGGGGGGGATTTGGGGTCTTAAAGGGGTCTAAGGGGGGGATTTGGGGTCTTAAAGGGGTCTAAGGGGGGGATTTGGGGGTTTAAAGGGGTCTAAGGGGGGGATTTGGGGTCTTAAAGGGGTCTATGGGGGGGATTTGGGGTCTTAAAGGGGTCTAAGGGGGGGATTTGGGGGTTTAAAGGGGTCTAAGGGGGGGATTTGGGCTCTTAAAGGGGTCTATGGGGGGGATTTGGGGTCTTAAAGGGGTCTAAGGGGGGGATTTGGGGGTTTAAAGGGGTCTAAGGGGGGGATTTGGGGGTTTAAAGGGGTCTATGGGGGGGATTTGGGGTCTTAAAGGGGTCTATGGGGGGGATTTATGGGATTAAAGGGGTCTAGGGAGTGTTTAAAGGGGTCTAAGAGGGATTGTATGGGGACACTTGGTGTTAATGGGGGTCAATGGAGATCAATGGGGTCAATGGGGATCAGTGGGTGTCACTGGGGCTCAATGGGGCTCAATGGGGGTCAGTGGGGCTCAATGGGGCTCTATGGATGTCGATGGGTGTCAGTGGTGCTCAATGGGTGTCAATGGGGATCAGTGGGGTTCAGTGGGGCTCAATGGGTATCAGTGGGGTCAATGGGGTTCAATGGGGTCAATGGATGTCATTGGGGATCAATGGGTGTCAATGGGGCTCAATGGGGCTCTATGGATGTCAGTGGGGGGTCAATGGGTGTCAGTGGGGATCAGTCAATGGCAATGAGGGTCAATGGGGATCAATGGAGGTCAGTGGGGTTCAATGGGTGTCAGTGGGGGTCAATGGGTGTCAATGGGGATCAGTGGGGCTCAATGGGTGTCAATGGGGAAATGGGTGTCAATGGGTGTCAATGGGGATCAATGGGGGTCAATGGGGATCAATGGGTGCTCAATGGAGGTCAATGGGGCTCAATGGGTGTCAATGGGGCTCAATGGAGGTCAATGGGGATCAATGGGGCTAAATGGGGGTCAATGGGGATCAATGGGTGCTCAATGGGGCTCAATGGGGATCAATGGGTGTCAATGGGGGTCAATGGGGATCAATGGAGGTCACTGGGGTTCAATGGGTGTCAATGGGGCTTAATGGATGTCAATGGGGATCAATGGGGCTCATTGGGTGTCAATGGGGATCAATGGAGGTCAATGGGTATCAATGGGGCTTAATGGATGTCAATGGGGATCAGTGGGGCTCAATGGGTGTCAATGGGGATCAATGGGTGTCAATGGGGATCAATGGAGGTCAATAGGTGTCAGTGGGGCTCAATGGGTCTCAATGGGGGTCAATGGGTGCTCAATGGAGGTCAATGGGGATCAATGGAGGTCAGTTGGGCTCAATGGGTCTCAATGGGAGTCAATGGGGCTCAATGGGTGCTCAATGGAGGTCAATGGGGATCAATGGAGGTCAATGGGGGTCAATGGGTGTCAATGGGGCTCAATGGGGGGGGCTTCACTGTGGGGCCGTGGGTCCCCCCCCGACGCTGCCCCCTGACAGGGTCCGGCTCCGCCCCCTTTCCCCCTCCCCGGACGTGGAGCTCGAGACCGAGGCCGTACGGGAGCGCGAGAGCCGCGTCATAGCCGAGGCCGCCACTGCAAGGGGGCGTGGCCAGGCCTTAGGACACGCCCCCCCTGTCCCCTATGGGCCAATGGGGATGGAGGGAGCCTGCCCCAAGCCACACCCCCCTCCGGAACCCATTGTGGTCAATGGGAGCCAGCCTTTCTCTTCTAAGCCACGCCCCCCCCCCCATTGGCCACGCCCCCCATAGCGCCATCACCCAATGGGGTCAATGGGAGCCAAGCCACGCCCCACCCTCATTGGCCACGCCTCCCATAGCGCCATCACCCAATGGGGTTAATGGGAGCCAAGCCACGCCCCCCCCATAGCGGCAACACCCAATGGGGTCAATGGGAGCCAAGCCACGCCCCACCCTCATTGGCCACGCCTCCCATAGCGCCAACACCCAATAGGGTTAATGGGAGCCAAGCCACGCCCCCCATAGCGGCAACACCCAATGGGGTCAATGGGAGCCAAGCCACGCCCCACCCTCATTGGCCACGCCTCCCATAGCGCCATCACCCAATGGGGTTAATGGGAGCCAAGCTACGCCCCCTAACCCATTGGCCACGCCCCCCATAGCGCCAACACCCAATGGGGTTAATGGGAGCCAAGCCACGCCCCCCCATAGCACCAACACCCAATGGGAGCCAGAGCAAGCCACGCCCACAGCTCCTAACCAATGCCCTTATACGGTAAGACACTCCCTCAATTGGCCACGCCCCCATAGCACGAGCAGCCAATAGGGTTGATGAAAACCAAGCCACGCCCCCTTCCCATTGGCCATGCCCCCATAACACCGACACCCAATGGGAGCCAGCCCTCCGCCCCTAAGCCACACCCCCTTTCCATAGGCCACGCCCCCCCCGTAGCAACACCCAATAGGGTTGATGGGAACCAAGCCACGCCCCCATAGCGCCAGCACCCAATGGGGTTAATGGGAGCCAAGCCACGCCCCCGTTCCCATAGGCCACGCCCCCATAGCACCAGCATCCAATGGGAGCCAGATGAAGCCACGCCCACAGTTCTTATTCCGTGCCCTTATATGGTAAGACACGCCCCCTCCGCATAGGCCACGCCCCCGTAGCGTCACCATCCAATGGGGTTAATGGGAGCCAGCCCAGGCCACGACCCCAGCGCCTAACCCATGCCCTTATATGCGTAAACCACGCCCCTTTCCCATAGGCCATGCCCCCATAGCACCAGCACCCAATGGGGTTAAGGGGCCCCAGCCCAGGCCACGCCCCCGGCGCCTAACCCATGCCCTTATATGGTAAGCCACGCCCCCTTAGCACAAACACACGGGAGTCAATGGTGTTAATAAGCAGCCATTGGAAACCAAACCACGCCCCCTTGTTAAGCCACGCCCCCCCTCTTCCACCACCAGCCAATGGGGTTAAAGGAGCCGGCCCCTCCCTAAGCCACGCCCACCCCTCCCTAAGCCACGCCCCCCTCGTCCAACCCATCGGGGTTAATGGGAAGCCCATTAAAGGGCTATGGGGTGGGGGGTAATTAATAAGGGGTGGGGTTAATTAGGGAGGTGTGGGGCTCATTAATATTCATGGTGGGTCATTAATATTCATGAGGGGCGGGGACTCACTGTAGCCCATTCCCTGCACGAAGTACTTGAAGGCTTCGGTCAGCCTGGCTGGCTATTGGTGGAGAGGGGAGGGGGCGTGGCCGTGACGTAGCCACGCCCCCTCTGTTGGCTCCCATTCATTCCTATTGGCCTCCATTGATCCCCATTGCTCCCCATTGATCCCCATTGACCCCATTGATCCCCATTCAGCCCCATTGATTCCCATTGACCCCATCGATCCCCATTGATTCCCATTGATCCCCACTGACCCCATTCAACCCCATAGATCCCATTGATCCCCATTGACCCCATTGATCCCTTTGACCCCCATTCAGCCCCATTGACCCCATTGATCCTCATTAACCCCATTGATCCCTTTGACCCCCATTCAGCCCCATTGACCCCATTGCTCCCCATTGACCCCATTGAGCCCCATTGACCCCATTCAACCCAATTGATCCCCATTCATCCCCATTGACCCCACTGCTCCCCATTGATCCCATTCACCCCCATTGATCCCCATTCAACCCCATTGACTCCATTCAACCCCATAGATCCCATTGATCCCCATTGACCCCCATTGAACCCCGTTCAGCCCCATTGATTCCCATTCATCCCCATTGACCTCTATTCACCCCCATTGACCCCCATTCAGCCCCATTGACCCCATTGCTCCCCATTGACCCCCATTCACCCCCAATGACCCCATTCATCCCCATTGACCCCTGTGCACCCCATTGATCCCCCTTCACCCCCATTGATCCCCATTCAACCAAATTGACTCCATTCAACCCCATAGATCCCATTGATCCCCATTGAACCCCGTTCAGCCCCATTGATTCCTATTCATCCCCATTGACCCCTATTCATCCCCATTGACCCCCATTCATCCCCATTGACCCCATTCAACCCCATAGATCCCATTGATCCCCATTGACCCCATTGATCCCTTTGACCCCCATTCAGCCCCATTGACCTCATTGCTCCCCATTGACCCCATTGAGCCCCATTGACCCCATTCAACCCAACTGATCCCCATTCAACCCCATTGACTCCATTCAACCCCATAGATCCCATTGATCCCCATTGACCCCCATTGAACCCCGTTCAGCCCCATTGATTCCCATTCATCCCCATTGACCCCATTGATCCCCATTGACCCCTATTCACCCCCATTGACCCCCATTAATCCCCATTGAGCACATTCAACCCCATAGATCCCATTGTTCCCCATTGACCCCATTGATCCCTTTGACCCCCATTCATCCCCATTGACCCCTGTGCTCCCCATTGATCCCCCTTCACCCCCATTGATCCCCATTCAACCCCATTGACTCCATTCAACCCCATAGATCCCATTGGTCCCCATTGATCCCTTTGACCCCCATTCAGCCCCATTGACCCCATTGCTCCCCATTGACCCCCATTCACCCCCAATGACCCCATTCATCCCCATTGACCCCTGTGCACCCCATTGATCCCCCTTCACCCCCATTGATCCCCATTCAACCAAATTGACTCCATTCAACCCCATAGATCCCATTGATCCCCATTGAACCCCGTTCAGCCCCATTGATTCCCATTCATCCCCATTGACCCCTATTCACCCCCATTGACCCTCATTCATCCCCATTGACCCCATTCAACCCCATAGGTCCCATTGATCCCCATTGACCCCATTGATCCCTTTGACCCCCATTCAGCCCCATTTACCCCATTGCTCCCCATTGACCCCATTGACCCCATTCAACCCAATTGATCCCCATTCATCCCCATTGATCCCCATTCAACCCCATTGACTCCATTCAACCCCGTAGATCCCATTGATCCCCATTGACCCCATTGATCCCTTTGACCCCCATTCAGTCCCATTGACCCCATTGCTCCCCATTGACCCCATTGAGCCCCATTGACCCCATTCAACCCAATTGATCCCCATTGATCCCCATTGACCCCACTGCTCCCCATTGATTCCCATTCATCCCCATTGACCCCATTGATCCCCACTGACCCCTATTCACCCCCATTGACCCCCATTCAACCCCATAGATCCCATTGATCCCCATTGACCCCATTGATCCCTTTGACCCCCATTCATCCCCATTGCTCCCCATTGACCCCATTGATCCCATTGACCCCCATTGCTCCCCATTGCCCCCCATTGTCCCCATTGAGCCCCATTGATCCCCACTGACCCCATTCACCCCCCTTGACCCCAATGCCCCCACGTGACCTCTGACCCCACGTGACCTCCCCCCCCCCCCCATTTACCTGCGTGATCTGGGGCTGGCCCCCTCCGTCCGCCATCTGTAAAAAGGGGTCAAAGGTCACATGGGGGGGGGGCGTGGCCAGGCAAGGTCACGTGGTCCGGGGGTCAAAGGTCACCTTGAGGAAGGAGGTCTGGGTTGGGTCCAGCTTGGCATTGCACTCCACCTGCAGGGGGGGCCAGTAGCGGTCACATGACTCCCATTCATCCCCATTGAGCCCCATTCATCCCCATTGAGCCCCATTGAGCCCCATTGAACCCCATTGAGCCCCATTGAACCCCATTGTTCCCTATTGACCCCATTGAGCCCCATTGAGCCCCATTCACCCCCATTCACCCCCATTGATCCCCATTGACCCCATTGATCCCCTTTGACCCCATTGATCCCCGTTGACCCCATTGATCCCCATTCATCTCCATTGACACCCATTGATCCCCATTGACACCCATTGACCCCACTGATCCCCATAGATCCCATTAAACCCCATTCATCCCCATTGACCCCATTGATCCCCATTGATCCCCATTCACCCCCATTGATCCCCATTGATCCCCATTGATCCCCATTCACCCCCATTGATCCCCATTGACCCCATTCATCCCCATTGACCCCCATTGACCCCATTGACCCCCACAGATCCCATTGAACCCCATTCATCCCCATTGACCCCCATTGATCCCATTGATCCCCATTGATCCCCATTGATCCCCATTCACCCCCATTGACCCCATTGATCCCCATTGATCCCCATTGACCCCATTCATCCCCATTGACCCCATTTACCCCCATTGACCTCATTGAGCCCCATTGATCCCTATTGACCCCCATTGACCCCATTCATCCCCATTCGATCCCCATTGACCCCATTCAATCCCATAGATCCCATTGATCCCATTGATCCCCATTGACCCCATTGATCCCCATTGATCCCATTCAACCCCATTGATCCCCATTGATCCCCGTTGTTCCCCATTGATGATAGGTGGGTGTGGGTCACGTGACTCACCACCGCGTCCACGTGGGGGGCATCATCCCCGACGACCAATAGGACAGGGCACCTGAGGAAGGGGGGCGTGGCCTGAGGTCACGTGATGCTGGAGAGGGGGGTGTGGCCACGTGGTTGTGGTGGGGGGTGTGGTCACGTGGTGATGACGTCACTCACCGCAGGCTCCCGGCCCCGCTGCGCTGCAGCCCCAGGTCCCCGCGGCTGTCACGTGACCAGGGAGGGGGCGGGGCTCAGGTGAGGCCACGCCCCCCCCCCCACCTCCTCCCCGAGCCCTATGGCGCCCCCTGACGCCCATTAGAGCTCCATAGGGACCCCATAGAGACCCCATAGAGACCCCATAGCGCCCCATAGGGACCCCATAGAGACCCATAGGGACCCATAGTGACCCACAGGGACCCCTTAGAGACCCATAGGGACCCATAGAGACCCACAGGGACCCCATAGAGACCCATAGGGACCCATAGAGACCCATAGGGACCCCATAGAGACCCATAGGGACCCATAGAGACACATAGGGACCCCATAGAGACCCATAGGGACCCATAGAGACACATAGGGACCCATAGAGACCCACAGGGACCCCATAGAGACCCATAGGAACCCATAGAGACCCACAGGGACCCCATAGAGACCCATAGGAACCCCATACAGACCCATAGGAACCCATAGAGCCCATTAGGGATGCCATAGAGACCCATAGGGACCCCATAGAGACCCCATAGCGCCCCATAGGGACGCCATAGAGACCCACAGGGACCCCATAGAGACCCCATAGCACCCCATAGGGACCCACAGAGACCCCATAGAGCGCCCATAGAGACCCATAGGGACCCATAGAGACCCATAGAGACCCCATAGAGCCCCACAGAGACCCATAGAGACCCCATAGAGCCCCATAGAGACCCCATAGAGACCCCATAGAGCCCCATAGAGACCCCATAGAGCCCCATAGAGACCCATAGAGACCCCATAGAGCCCCATAGAGACCCATAGAGACCCCATAGAGACCCATAGGGACCCATAGAGCCCCCATAGAGACCCATAGAGCCCCATAGAGACCCATAGGGACCCATAGAGACCCCATATTGCCCCATAGCCGATACCTGCTGTACATGGCCCATAAGTGGGCGCTGTTGGTGCCGGCCTCAAGGCGCTGCCGGAGGTGCTGCACATAGGGGGGGGCGGCCGCCAGCTCTGCCTGCCCCATAGAGACCCATAGAGACCCATAGGGACCCCATAGAGACCCATAGAGACCCATAGAGACCCATAGAGACACATAGAGACCCATAGAGAACCACAGAGAACCCATAGAGACCCCACAGAGACCCATAGGGACCCCATAGAGACACATAGGGACCCATAGAGACCCCATAGAGACCCATAGGGACCCATAGAGACCCATACGGACCCCATAGAGACCCATAGGGACCCATACGGACCCCATAGAGACCCATAGGGACCCATAGGGACCCATAGAGACCCATAGGGACCCCATAGAGACCCATAGGGACCCATAGAGACCCATAGAGACCCCATAGAGACCCATAGGGACCCATAGGGACCCCATAGGGACCCCACAGAAACCCATAGGGACCCATACAGACCACATAGAGACCAACAGGGACCCCCCCAGGGACCCATAAGTGCCCCATAGAGTCCCATAGGTGCCCCATAGAGCCCCATAGCGCCCCATAGAGGGGCCCACCTGGGTGAAGAGGTGGCCCAGGATCATCTCAGTGGTGGACGTCGTCAGACCCGAGAGCTGCGGACCCATAAGTGCCCCATAAGTGACCCATAGGAACCCCATAGAGACCCCATAGAGACCCCATAGAGAGCCATAGAGAGCCATAGAGACCCATAGAGACCCATAGAGACCCATAGAGACCCCATAGAGACCCATGGAGACCTCATAGAGACCCCATTGAGACCCATAGAGACCCATAGAGACCCCATAGAGACCCATGGAGACCTCATAGAGACCCCATAGAGACCCCATAGAGACCCATAGAGAACCCATAGAGACCCCATAGAGACCCATAGAGACCCATAGAGAACCCATAGAGACCCATAGAGACCCATAGATAACCCATAGAGACCCATAGAGAACCCATAGAGACCCCATAGAGACCCATAGAGACCCATAGAGACCCCATGAGACCCCATAGAGACCCCATAGAGACCCCATAGAGACCCCATAGAGACCCATAGAGACCCCATAGAGAGACCCATAAAGACCCATAGAGACCCATTGAGACCCATAGAGACCCATAGAGAACCCATAGAGACCCCATAGAGACCCCATAGAGACCCCATAGAGACCCATAGAGAGCCCACAGAAACCCCATAGAGACCTCATAGAGACCCTATAGAGACCCATAGGGACCCATAGAGACCCATAGAGACCCATAGGGACCCCATAGCTGCCCCATAGCTGCCCCACAGGTCCTACCTTGTGTGCTGCCCAGTCCATCCAGCCCTTGGCCTTGGGGTCGATGTTGACCAGCACCAGCCCCTCCACTAAGTCTGGGTGCAGCAGCTGTGGGGCAGCCCCATAGAGACCCATAGAGACCCATAACCCTGCCCCATAGTGCCCCATAACCAGCCCCAATAGCGCCCTATAGCGCCGCATAACTCAGTCCCATAACCCAGCCCCATTGCACCCCATAACCCAGCCCCATAGCGCCCCATAACCCAGCCCCATACCGCCCCATAGCACCCAAAAACCCAGCCCCATAGCGCCCCATAGCACCCCATAACCCAGCCCCATAGTGCCCCATAGTACCCCATAACCCAGCCCCATAGCACCCCATAGCACCCCATAACCCAGCCCCATAGCACCCCATAACCATCCCCATAGCGCCCCATAGCCCAGCCCCATAGTGCCTCGTAGCACCCCATAACCATCCCCATAGCACCCCATAGCCCAGCCCCATATTGCCCCATAACTAGCCCCATAGTACCCCATAACCCAGCCCCGTAGCGCCCCATAGCACCCCATAACCCAGCCCCATAGCGCCCCGTAGCACCCCATAACCCAGCCCCATAGTACCCTGTAGCCCAGTCCCATAGTGCCCCATAGCACCCCAAAACCCAGCCCCATAGCGCCCCATAACCAACCCCATAGCGTCCAATAGCACCCGTAACCCAGTCCCATAGCGCCCCATAGCACCCCATAACCCAGCCCCATAGCACCCCAAAACCCAGCCCCATAGCGCCCCATAACCAAGCCCCATAGCACCCCATAGTAGCCCGTAACCCAACCCCATAGCAGCCCATAACCAGCCCCATAGCACCCCATAACCAACCCCATAGTGCGCAATAGCACCCCGTAACCCAGCCCCATAGTACCCCATAACCCAGTCCTATAGCACCCCATAAGCCAGCCCCATAGCGCCCCATAACCAACCCCATAGCACCCAATAGCACCCCAAAACCCAGCCCAATAGCACCCCATAACCCAGCCCCATAGCACCCCGTAACCCAGTCCCATAGCACCCCATAGCACCCCATAAGCCAGCCCCATAGAGCCCCATAAGCAACCCCATAGCACCCAATAGCACCCTATAACCCAGCCCCATAGTGCCCCAAAACCCAGTCCCATAGCACCCCATAGCACCCCATAAGCCAGCCCCATAGAGCCCCATAAGCAACCCCATAGCACCCAATAGCACCCTATAACCCAGCCCCATAGTGCCCCAAAACCCAGTCCCATAGCACCCCATAAGCCAGCCCCATAACCAACACCATAGCGCCCCATAGCATCCCATAACCCAGCCCCATAGTGCCCCATAGCACCCCATAACCCATCCCCATAGCACCCCATAACCATCCCCATAGCACCCCATAACCCTGCCCCATAGCACCCCATAACCCAGCCCCATAGCACCCCAGAACCATCCCCATAGCGCCCCATAACAATCCCCATAGCACCCCATAACCCATCCCCATAGCACCCCATAACCCATCCCCATAGCACCCCATAACCCATCCCCATAGCACCCCATAACCCAGCCCCATAGTGCCCCATAACCATCCCCATAGCACCCCATAACCATCCCCATAGCACCCCATAACCCAGCCCCATAGCACCCCATAGCCATCCCCATAGCACCCCATAACCCATCCCCATAGCACCCCATAACCCATCCCCATAGCACCCCATAACCATCCCCATAGCACCCCATAACCCAGCCCCATAGCACCCCATAACCCATCCCCATAGCACCCCATAACCCATCGCCATAGAACCCTATAACCCATCCCCATAGCACCCCATAACCCATCCCCATAGCACCCCATAACCATCCCCATAGCACCCCATAACCCAGCCCCATAGCACCCCATAACCCAGCCCCATAGCACCCCATAACCCATCGCCATAGAACCCTATAACCCATCCCCATAGAACCTTATAACCCATCCCCATAGCACCCCATAACCCATCCCCATAGCACCCCATAACCATCCCCATAGCACCCCATAACCCAGCCCCATAGCACCCCATAACCCATCCCCATAGCACCCCATAACCCATCGCCATAGAACCCTATAACCCATCCCCATAGAACCTTATAACCCATCCCCATAGCACCCCATAACCCATCCCCATAGCACCCCATAACCATCCCCATAGCACCCCATAACCCAGCCCCATAGCACCCCATAACCCAGCCCCATAGCACCCCATAGCCATCCCCATAGCACCCCATAACCCATCGCCATAGAACCCTATAACCCATCCCCATAGAACCTTATAACCCATCCCCATAGCACCCCATAACCCAGCCCCATAGCACCCCATAACCATCCCCATAGCACCCCATAACCCATCCCCATAGCACCCCATAACAATCCCCATAGCACCCCATAACCCAGCCCCATAGCACCCCATAACCCAGCCCCATAGCGCCCCACACCTCACCCCAAACTTGGCCAAGATGAAGGCTCCGGCTCCAACCCCGATGCCGACGATGCTGTTGATGCTGATTGGACGAGAACGGTCACGTGGGGGGCCTGGTGTCCCCCCCCCCCATCACCCGCTATGGGGCAGAGCCCCCTCGCTATGGGGCAGGGACTCACTGGAGGGGCTGGAGGATGCCCGGCAGCATCGAGGCCAATTGCTCCATGGATGGGTACTGGTACCTGCGGCAATGGGGGGCAATGGGGGCTATGGGGCACAATGGGGCAATGGGGGGCAATGGGGCAATGGGGGCTATGGGGCACAATGGGGCAATGGGGGGCAATGGGGCAATGGGGGGCAATGGGGGCTATGGGGCACAATGGGGCAATGGGGGGCAATGGGGCAATGGGGGGCAATGGGGGCTATGGGGCACAATGGGTAATGGGGGGCAATGGGGCAATGGGGGCTATGGGGCACAATGGGGCAATGGGGGGCAATGGGGCAATGGGGGCTATGGGGCACAATGGGGTAATGGGGGGCAATGGGGTAATGGGGGCTATGGGGCACAATGGGGTAATGGGGGGCAATGGGGGCTATGGGGCACAATGGGGTAATGGGGGGCAATGGGGGCTATGGGGCACAATGGGGTAATGGGGGGCAATGGGGGCTATGGGGCGCAATGGGGTAATGGGGGCAATGGGACAATGGGGGCAATGGGGCACAATGGGGCAATGGGGGCTATGGGGCACAATGGGGTAATGGGGGGCAATGGGGGCTATGGGGCACAATGGCGTAATGGGGGCAATGGGGGCTATGGAGCACAATGGGGTAATGGGGGGCAGTGGGGGCTATGGGGCACAATGGGGCAATGGGGGCTATGGGGCACAATGGGGTAATGGGGGGCAATGGGGGCTATGGGGCACAATGGGGCAATGGGGGCTATGGGGCACAATGGGTCAGTGGGGGTCTATGTGTCCCCTATGGGTCAATGGGGACTAATGGGGTCAATGGGTCCCAATGGGGGGAAGTGGGTCCTGTGGGTCAATGGGGTCCTCTATGGGTCAGTGGGTGTCAATGTGGTCTCAATGGGGGGCAATGGCGTCCATGGGTCCCAGTGGGGTCTATGGGCATCAATGGGGTCAATGAGGCCCCATAGGGATCAATGGGGTGCCAATAGGGATCAATGAGGCCCCATAGGGATCAATGGGGGTCAATGGGCTCCCATAGGGATCAATGGGGTCCCAATAGGGGTCAATGGGCTCCCATAGGGATCAATGGGGTCCCAATAGGGGTCAATGGGGTCCCATAGGGATCAATGGGGGTTAATGGCTCCTATAGGGATCAATGGGGCTCAAATGGGTGTCAATGGGGCTCAATGGGGTCATTGGTTGTCAGTGGGGCTCAATGGGTGTCAATGGGGCTTAATGGGGGTCAATGGGGTCAATGGGGCTCAGTGGGTGTCAATGGGTGTCAATGGGGATCAATGGAGTCGCATAGGAATCAATGGGGCTCAATGGGGTCAATGGGGCTCAATAGGGTCAATGGGGCTCAATGGGGGTCAATGGGGCTCAATGGGGGTCAGTGGAGCTCAATGGGTGTCAATAGGGCTCAATGGGTCTCAATGGAGCTCAATGGGTGTCAGTGGGGCTTAATGGGGGTCAGTGGGGGTCAGTGGGGCTCAATGGGGTCAATGGGGCTCAGTGGGGCTCAATGGGTGTCAATAGAGTCAATGGGTGTCAATGGGGCTCAATGGACTCGCATAGGAATCAGTGGGGCTCAATGGGGTCAATGGGGCTCAATGGGTGTCAATAGGGCTCAATGGAGCTCAATGGGGCTCAATGGTGTCAATAGGGTCAATGGGTGTCAATAGGGCTCAATGGGTGTCAATAGGGCTCAATAGGGCTCAATGGGGCTCAATGGGGCTCAATGGGGCTCCATGGGTCGCCGTGGGGCACGCACCCGGGGGGGTAGGGCGCCGCCCCCGCCTCCATTCCCGGCGGCTCCAGGTGCAGCACCAGGAAGCTCCGGAGCAGGTCCCGCATCTCCTCGTGCGCGAAGAGCGGCCCGAAGCACGAGGAGCCTGGGGGAAGGGGGCGGATGTGGGGCGCTATGGGGCGCTAGGGGGCCAATGGGGGGCAATGGGGGGCAATGGGAGTCAATTGGAGTCAATGGGGATCAATGGGGGTCAATGGGAGTCAATGGGGTCAATGGGGGGCAATGGGAGTCAATGGGGCTCAATGGGAGTCAATGGGAGTCAATGGGGTCAATGGGAGTCAATGGGAGTCAATGGGGGGCAATGGGAGTCAATGGGGGTCAATGGGAGTCAATGGGGGGCAATGGGGGGCAATGGGGGGCAATGGAGTCAATGGGGGGCAATGGGAGTCAATGGGAGGCAATGGGGGGCAATGGGAGTCAATGGGGGTCAATAGGAGTCAATGGGAGTCAATGGGAGTCAATGAGGGTCAATGGGAGTCAATGGGAGTCAGTGGGGGGCAGTGGGAGTCAATGGGAGTCAATGGGGGGCAATGGGAGTCAATGGGGGTCAATGGGGTCAATGAGTGTCAGTGGGGGTCAATGGGGTCAGTGGGGCACAGTGGGGGTCAATGGGGTCAGTGGGTTACAATGGGTCTCAATAGGTGTCAATGGGACACAATGGGGGCTATGGGGCATAGTGTGTCATGATAGAGTCAGTGGGGCCTATGGGGCACAATGGGGGTCGGTGGGGGCCAAGAGGTCAATGGGATCTATGGGTCCTTATGGGGTCTCTATAGGTCGCTATGGGTCTCTATGGGGTCTCTATGGTGTCTCTATGGGTCCCTATGGGGTCTCTATGGTGTCTCTGTGGGACCCTATGCATCTCTATGTGTCTCTATGTGTCTCTATGGGTCCCTATGGGTCTCTATGGGGTCCATATGGGGTCTCTATGGGATCCCTACAGGGTCTCTGTGGGTCCCTATGGGGTCTCTATGGGTCTCTATGGGGTCTCTATGGGTCTCTATGGGGACCATACGGGGTCTCTATGGATCTCTATGGGTCCCTATGGATCTCTATGGGTCCATATGGGGTTTCTATGGGTCTCTATAGGTCCCTAGGGGGTCTCTATGGGAACTCTATGGGTCTCTATGGGGTCTCTATGGATCTCTATGGGGTCCCTGCAGGGTCTCTATGTGTCCCTGTGGGGTCCCTATGGGGTCTCTATGGGTCCCTACGGGTCTCTATGGGATCTCTGTGGGAACTCTATGGGTCCCTATGGATCTCTATGGGTCTCTATGGATTTCTATGGGTCCCTATGGGGTCTCTATGGGACTCTATGGATTTCTATGGGTCCCTATGGGGTCTCTATGGGTCTCTATGGATTTCTATGGGTCCCTATAGGGTCTCTATGGGTCTCTATGGGTCTCTATGGATTTCTATGGGTCCCTATAGGGTCTCTATGGGTCTCTATGGATTTCTATGGGTCCCTATGGGGTCTCTATGGGTCTCTATGGATTTCTATGGGTCCCTATAGGGTCTCTATGGGTCTCTATGGGTCTCTATGGATTTCTATGGGTCCCTATGGGGTCTCTATGGGTCTCTATGGGTCTCTATGGGTCCCGCACTCACTCGTGTGCCCCACATCGGGGAAGGTGAGGATCGCCGGGCGCCCGGGCCGGGGGGTCCCCACCATAGACACGGACACGGGCCCATAGGGGGTCTCCAACAGCGCCCCCTGCTGGTGGGGAGGAATTAAAGGGGGGGATGAAATGGGGCAGGAACGGCCCCAAAACCGCCCCAAATGGCCCCAAAAATCACCCAGAACGGTAAAAAACACCCAAAAAAGGCAAAAAATCGAGCCAAAATCCCTGAAAATCACCCCAAAATCACCCAGAATGGTAAAAAACACCCAAAAAGGGCAAAAAATCGACCCCAAATCCCTGAAAATCACCCCAAAATCATCCAGAATGGTAAAAAACACCCAAAAAGGGCAAAAAATCGACCCGAAATCACTGAAAATCGCCCCAAAATCACCCAGAATGGTAAAAAACACCCAAAAAGGGCAAAAAAATCGACCCAAAATCCCTGAAAATCGCCCCAAAATCACCCAGAATGGTAAAAAACACCCAAAAAAGGCAAAAAATCGACCCGAAATCCATGAAAATCGCCCCAAAATCACCCAGAATGGGAAAAAACACACAAAAAGGGCAAAAAATCGACCCAAAATCCCTGAAAATCGACCCAAAATCACCCAGAATGGTAAAAAACACACAAAAATGGCAAAAAATCGACCCAAAATCCATGAAAATCACCCCAAAATCACCCAGAATGGTAAAAAACACCCAAAAAGGGCAAAAAATCGACCCGAAATCACTGAAAATCGCCCCAAAATCACCCAGAATGGTAAAAAACCCCCAAAAAGGGAAAAAAATCGACCCGAAATCACTGAAAATCGCCCCAAAATCCCCCAGAATGGTAAAAAACACCCAAAAATCGCAAAAAATCGACCCAAAATCCCTGAAAATCGACCCAAAATCACCCAGAATGGTAAAAAACCCTCAAAAAAGGCAAAAAATCGACCCAAAATCCCTGAAAATCGCCCCAAAATCATCCAGAATGGTAAAAAACACCCAAAAAAGGCAAAAAATCGACCCAAAATCCCTGAAAATCGCCCCAAAATCACCCAGAATGGTAAAAAACACCCAAAAATCGCAAAAAATCGACCCAAAATCCCTGAAAATCACCCCAAAATCACCCAGAATGGTAAAAAACACCCAAAAAGGGCAAAAAATCGACCCAAAATCCATGAAAATCGCCCCAAAATCACCCAGAATGGTAAAAAACACCCAAAAAGGGCAAAAAATCGACCCAAAATCCCTGAAAATCGCCCCAAAATCCCCCAGAACGGTAAAAAACACCCAAAAAAGGCAAAAAATCGAGCCAAAATCCCTGAAAATCACCCCAAAATCACCCAGAATGGTAAAAAACACCCAAAAAGGGCAAAAAATCGACCCAAAATCCCTGAAAATCACCCCAAAATCACCCAGAATGGTAAAAAACACCCAAAAAGGGCAAAAAATCGACCCGAAATTCCTGAAAATCGCCCCAAAATCACCCAGAATGGTAAAAAACACCCAAAAAGGGCAAAAAATCGACCCAAAATCCCTGAAAATCACCCCAAAATCACCCAGAATGGTAAAAAACACCCAAAAAGGGCAAAAAATCGACCCAAAATCCCTGAAAATCACCCCAAAATCACCCAGAATGGTAAAAAACACCCAAAAAGGGCAAAAAAATCGACCCAAAATCCCTGAAAATCGCCCCAAAATCACCCAGAATGGTAAAAAACACCCAAAAAGGGAAAAAATCGACCCAAAACACCCAAAATCACAGCAAATCGCCCCAAAAATGCAATAAATCACCGCAAAACCGAAGAGAAATGTATCAAAAGGGCAAAAACCACCCCAAAAATGGCGAAAAACACCCAAAATCCGTTAAAATCAACTCAGAATCACTCAAAACACCAAAAAAAATCCCAAAACAACTTAAAATTCACTCAAAACGTCGAAAAACACCAAAAAATTGTAAAAAACACCCCAAATCCCTGAAAATCGCCACAAAATCACTGAAAACGCCAAAAAACACCCAAAATAACTGAAAATTCAAGCCAAAATTACTCAAAATGCAAAAAATACCACAAAAAATGGTGAAAAACAACCAAAATTCCTGAAAATCACCCCAAAAATCACTTAAAACGCCCAAAAATACCCCAAAATGGCGAAAAACACCCTAAATCCCTAAAAATCACCCCAAACTTACCCAAAATGCCAAAAACCCCACAAAAATGGTAAAAAAACACTGAAAATCACCCCAAAATCACCCCAAACGCTAAAAATCACACAAAAAATGGTAAAAAACACCCCAAAACACCCTAAAAACGCCCAAAACACCCCCAAAACGCCCCCAAAACGCCTTTGGTTGCCCTCAAAACGCTTCCCAACGCCTCAAACCCCGCCCCTTTCCCCCATAAGCCCCTCCCCTTCCGCCGGAAACGCCCCTTTTCTGCCTTGAAATCGCCTTTTTTCGCCCCAAAACGCCCCTGAAACGCCTTTTCTACCCCAAAAACGCTGCTTTTGACCCCTAAAACCCCATTTTTCACCCCAAAACCCCCGTTTCGCCCCCAAAACGCCCATTTCCACCTTAAAACGCCGTTTTCCTCCCTTAAAACACCCATTTCCCCCCCGAAAACGCCCATTTCCACCTTAAAACGCTGATTTTAACCCAAAACGGCCGATTTCCACCTTAAAACGATGTTTTCACCCCTAAAACGATGTTTTCACCCCCAAAACGCCGTTTTCACCCCCAAAACGCTCATTTCCACCTTAAAACACCGTTTTCCTCCCTTAAAACGCCCATTTCCCCCCCAAAAAACGCTCATTTCCACCTTAAAACGCTGTTTTCACCCCCAAAACGCCCATTTCCACCTTAAAACACCCATTTCCCCCCCAAAAACGCTCATTTCCACCTTAAAACGCCGTTTTCCTCCCTTAAAACGCCCATTTCCCCCCCAAAAACGCTCATTTCCACCTTAAAACGATGTTTCCCCCCCCAAAACGCCCATTTCCCCAAAAAAAACGCTCATTTCCACCTTAAAATGCTGTTTTTGCCCCAAAAACGCCCATTTCCACCTTAAAACGCCCATTTCCCCCCCAAAAACGCCCATTTCCACCTTAAAACCCCCATTTCCCCCCAAAAAACGCTCATTTCCACCTTAAAACGATGTTTTCACCCCCAAACCGCTCATTTCCACCTTAAAACGCTGGTTTTAACCCAAAAACGCCCATTTCCACCTTAAAACCCCGTTTTCCTCCCTTAAAACGCCCATTTCCCCCCCCAAAAACGCTCATTTCCACCTTAAAACGCTGTTTTTGCCCCAAAAACGCCCATTTCCACCTTAAAACGCCATTTTCCTCCCTTAAAACACCCATTTCCCCCCAAAAAACGCTCATTTCCACCTTAAAACGATGTTTTCCCCAAAAACGCTGCTTCCACCCATAAAAAGCCATTTTCACCCCCAAAATAGTCGTTTTCACCCCCAAACCCCTCCATTTTGACCCCAAAAACGCCGTTTCCCTCCCCAAAACCACCATTTCCCCCAAAAAACGTTATTTTCACCCCAAAAACGCCGTTTCCGCCCCCAAAAACGTCATTTCCGCCCCCAAAACCACCATTTCCCCCCCAAAAAACGCCGTTTTCACCCCAAAACCACCATTTCCGCCCCGAAAAACGTCATTTCCGCCCCAAAAACCACCATTTCCCCCCCCAAAAACGCCGTTTTCATCCCAAAACCGCCGTTTTCCTCCCAAAAACGTCATTTCCGCCCCAAAAACCACCATTTCCCCCCCCAAAACGCCGTTTTCACCCCAAAACCGCCGTTTTCCTCCCAAAAACGTCATTTCCGCCCCAAAAACCACCATTTCCGCCCCCAAAAACGCCGTTTTCACCCCAAAACTGCCGTTTTCCTCCCAAAAACGTCATTTCCGCCCCCAAAACCACCATTTCCCCCCCCAAAAACGCCGTTTTCACCCCAAAACCGCCGTTTCCGCCCCAAAAACCACCATTTCCCCCCCAAAAACGCCCTTTTCACCCCAAAACCACCGTTTTCCTCCCAAAAACGTCATTTCCGCCCCAAAAACCACCATTTCCCCCCCCAAAAACGCCGTTTTCACCCCAAAACCGCCGTTTTCCTCCCAAAAACGTCATTTCCGCCCCAAAAACCACCATTTCCCCCCCCAAAAACGCCGTTTTCACCCCAAAACTGCCGTTTCCGCCCCAAAAAACACCATTTCCCCCCCCAAAAACGCCGTTTTCACCCCAAAACCACCGTTTTCCTCCCAAAAACGTCATTTCCGCCCCAAAAACCACCATTTCCGCCCCAAAAACGCCGTTTCCCCCCAAAACCACCGTTTCCGCCCCGAAAAACGTCATTTCCGCCCCCAAAACCACCATTTCCCCCCCCAAAAACGCCGTTTTCACCCCAAAACCACCATTTCCGCCCCGAAAAACGTCATTTCCGCCCCAAAAACCACCATTTCCCCCCCAAAAAACGCCGTTTTCATCCCAAAACCGCCGTTTTCCTCCCAAAAACGTCATTTCCGCCCCAAAAACCACCATTTCCCCCCCAAAACGCCGTTTTCACCCCAAAACTGCCGTTTCCGCCCCCAAAAACGTCATTTCCGCCCCACAAACGCCGTTTCCCCTCCCAAAACCACCATTTTCACCCCAAAACCACCATTTCCCCCCCTAAAAACCGCCTTTTTCACCCCAAAACCACCGTTTGCCCCCAAAAACGTCATTTCCGCCCCCAAACCACCTCCTTTTCACCCCAAAACGCCGTTTCCCCCCCTAAAAACGCCTTTTTCACCCCAAAAACGCCGTTTCCCCCCTCAAAACCCACCATTTTTTCCCCCCAAACGTCATTTCCTGTCCCAAACCCACCATTTTTTCCCCCAAAACGTCATTTCCTGTCCCAATCCCACCATTTTTCCCCCCTAAGACGTCATTTCCGGCCCCCAAAACCCCTCTTTTTCACCCCAAAACCCCCCCCCTTTACCTTGCCCTCCATGGGGGGGGGGCGCGGCCTCATTGAGCTCCATCATTGAGCGCTATGGGGCGGGGGGGGGGGGTTATTATGGGATGGAGGGGGGGGGATGCCCCCCCCCCCATATGACCCCACGTGACCCGGTGGGGGGGTGACCCCCATGGCCGGTACCTGCCACCTTCAGGTGCCTTTGGCCCTCTGAGGCCCCGCCCCCTCCGTAGGCCCCGCCCCCTGGGCCCGCAAAGGCTCATGGGAGGGGCTATAAATACCCCCTCCCTTTGCCATATATGGTAAAGGGAAAAGGGGGGGGGTGGGGGTGGAACGGACCAATCAGGGGTGGCGGTTTAGGTAAGGCTTTAATCAATGGGGGGGGGGGGGGGAATGGCGTGGGAACGGCGAGGGGATCACGTGGGAATGACGTCAGAATGACGTGGGAGGGACGTGGGAATGACGTCAGAATGACATGGGAAGGACGTGGGAATGATGTGGGAAGAACATGGGAATGTCATGGGAAGAACATGGGATTCTCATGGGAATAACATGGGAATGACATGGGAAGAACATGGGAATGTCATAGGAAAAACATGGGAAGGACATGGGAAGAACATGGGAAGGACGTGGGAATGTCATGGGAATGTCGTGGGATTCTCATGGGAATGACACGGGAATAACATGGGAAGAACATGGGAATGTCATAGGAATGTCATGGGAATGACATGGGAAGGACATGGGAAGGACATGGGAAGGACATGGGAAGGACATGGGATTCTCATAGGGAATTACATGGGAATGACATGGGAATGACATGGACATGGGAATAACATGGGAAGAACATGGAAATGGCATGGGAAGAACATGGGAATGTCGTGGGATTCTCATGGGAATAACATGGGAATGCCATGGGAGTAACATGGAAAGAACATGGGAAAGACATGGGAATAACATGGGAGTAACATGGGAAGAACATGGGAATGGCACGGGAAGAATGTGGGAATGTCATAGGAATAACATGGGAATGGCATGGGAATGACGTGGGAAGAACATGGGAATGACACGGGAATAACATGGGAACAACATGGGAATGGCACGGGAAGAATGTGGGAATGTCATAGGAATGACATGGGAAGGACATGGGAAGGACATGGGATTCTCATGGGAATAACATGGGAATGACATGGGAATGTCGTGGGATTCTCATGGGAATGGCATGGGAATGACACGGGAATAACATGGGAGTAACATGGGAATGACATGGAATGACACGGGAAGAACATGGGAAGAACATGGGAATGGCATGGGAAGAATGTGGGAATGTCATAGGAATGACATTGGAAGGACATGGGAAGGACATGGGAAGGACATGGGATTCTCATAGGGAATAACATGGGAATGACATGGGAATAACATGGGAAGAATATGGGAAGAACATGGAAATGGCATGGGAATGGCATGGGAAGAACATGGGAATGTGGGATTCTCATGGGAACAACATGGGAATGCCATGGGAATGACACAGGAATAACATGGGAAAGACATGGGAATGACATGGGAATAACATGGGAGTAACATGGGAAGAACATGGGAATGGCACGGGAAGAATGTGGGAATGTCATAGGAATGACATGGGAATGGCATGGGAAGAACATGGGAATGACATGGGAGTAACATGGGAATGACATGGGAGTAACATGGGAAGAACATGGGAATGTCATAGGAAGAACATGGGACTCTCATGGGAATGACATGGGAATGACACGGGAATGACATGGGAATGTCATGGGAAGGACATGGGAATGTCACAGGAATAACACTGGATCCTCACGGGAAGTACATGGGATTGTCATGGCAACAATGGGCTTCTCAGGGGAAGAACATGGGAATGGCAAGGGAAGAACATGGAATCAACATGGGATTAACATGGGAACAACATGGGAATGACATGGGAATAACGGGCTTCTCAGGGGAAGAACATGGGAAGGACATGGGAATGGGATGGGAAGGACATGGGAGTAACATGGGAATGACATGGGAATGGCATGGGAAGAACATGGAATCAACATGGGAATGCCATGGGAAGAACATGGGAATGACATAGGAATGGCACGGGAAGAACATGGGAATGGCATAGAAATGGCATAGAAATGACACAGGAATGACATGGGAAGAACATGGAATCAACATGGGATTAACATGGGATCAACATGGGAAGAACATAGGAACAACATGGGATAGAAACCATTGAGCCCCATCAATTACATAGAATCAACATGGGAATAACATGGGATAGAAACCATTGAGCCCCATGAACTACATGGAATCAACATGGGATTAACATGGGATAGAAACCATTGAGCCCCATCACCTACATGGAATCAACATGGGAATAACATGGGATAGAAACCTTTGAGCCCCATCACCTACATGGAATCAACATGGGAAGAACATGGGATCAACATGGGAAGAACATAGGAATAACATGGGATAGAAACCATTGAGTCCTATCAACTACATGGAATCAACATGGGATCAACATGGGATAGAAACCATTGAGCCCCATCACCTACATGGAATTAACATGGGAAGAACATGGGATAGAAACCATTGAGTCCTATCAACTACATGGAATCAACATGGGATTAACATGGGATCAACATGGGATAGAAACCATTGAGCCCCATCAACTACATGGAATCAACATGGGATTAACATGGGATCAACATGGGACTGAAACCATTGAGCCCTATCACCTACATGGAATCAACATGGGATTAACACGGGATCAACATGGGAAGAACATGGGAATAACATGGGATAGAAACCATTGAGTCCTATCAACTACATGGAATCAACATGGGAATAACAGGGGATAGAAACCATTGAGCCCCATGAACTACATGGAATTAACATGGGAAGAACATGGGATAGAAACCATTGAGCCCCATCACCTACATGCAATCAACATGGGATCAACATGGGAAGAACATGGGATAGAAACCATTGAGCCCCATCAATTACATAGAATCAAAATGGGAATAACATGGGAATAACACAGGATTAACATGGGACTGAAACCATTGAGCCCTATCACCTACATGGAATCAACATGGGATTAACATGGGATCAATCCCACCAAGCCCCATCAACTACATGGAATCAACATGGTATTAACATGGGATCAACATGGGATAGAAACCATTGAGCCCCATCACCTACATGGAATCAACATGGGAAGAACATGGGAAGAACATGGGATAGAAACCATTGAGTCCTATTAACTACATGGAATCAACATGGGATTAACATGGGATCAACATGGGACTGAAACCATTGAGCCCCATCACCTACATGGAATCAACATGGGAAGAACATGGGATCAACATGGGAAGAACATAGGAATAACATGGGATAGAAACCATTGAGCCCTATCAACTACATGGAATCAACATGGGATCAACATGGGATAGAAACATTGAGCCCCATCACCTACATGGAATCAACATGGGATTAACATGGGATCGAACCAACTGAGCCCCATCAACTACATGGAATCAACATGGGATTAACATGGGATCAACACAGGACTAACACGGGCTCGAACCCCCAAGCCCCATCTCCTCCATGGCGCCACCACCCGCACCCAACCTCGCGTCCTTCACATGTCCTTAGCGTGTCCTTAGCGTGTCCTAAATGTGTTGCAAGCGCGGCGCCAACGCCACCAGCAGCTGAGCCAGGTGCCGGGCCCCGGCCTGCGCCGCCTCCAGCACCTCCTCGTGACCCATGGCCTTAGCGTGTTCTCCCGTGGCCTTAGCGTGTTCTCCCGTGTTCTTCGCGTGTTCCGGCTCTTCCTCCTCATCCTCTTCCTCTCTCGCAGCCGCGTTGGTGATGAGCGACAGCCCCAGCACCCGCAGGCCGCAATGGCGCGCCGCCGCCGCCTCCGCCACCGTGCTCATGCCTGCGGGCGGTGACACGCTAAGGACATGCTAAGGACATGCTAAGCGCACGCGAAGGGGACAAACGGCACTTCCAAGGGGGTTGAAAGGCGGGGAAAGGGACTTAAAGGGACGGAATGAGGGCTTAGCGTGTTCTTAGCGTGTTGAAGGGGTTAGTGTGCTTGTCATGTGACCATAGCGTGTTTGTCGCCTTAGCATGGCCTTTGCGTAAGGCCCTGTAAGCTGCCCTTAGCATGTTTGCCCCCATCCTTAGCGTGTCCTTAACATGTTTGTTCCCCCTTTAGCATGTCCTTAGCATGTTTGTCCCCCTTAGCATGTTTACCCCCCTTTAGCATGTCCTTAGCATGTTTACCCCCCCTTTAGCATGTCCTTAACGTGTCCTTAGCATGTCCTTTACGTGTTTACCCCCATACCCCCTCTTAGCATGTCCTTAGCGTGTTTGTCCCCCCTTTAGCATGTCCTTAGCATGTTTACCCCCCCTTTAGCATGTCCTTAACGTGTCCTTAGCATGTTCACCCCCCCCCAGCACTCACCGACCGCGTCCCCCCCGAGCATGCGCAGTAGCGCGCACTCGGCGGGGGTCTCGTAGCAGGGCCCCCCCACGCCGCAGTAGACGCCGGAGCGCGCGCGCAGAGGGGGCGGGGCCAGCGCCAGAGCGAGGCGCCGGAGGGCGGGGTCGTAGGCGCCGGCCATCACCGGGAAGCGGGGGCCGAACCTGGCCCCAAAAAATGCCCTTTTTCACCCCAAAATCGATCTTTTTCACCCTTTTTTACCCCAAAATCGATCTTTTTCACCCTTTTTTACCCCAAAATCGACCTTTTTCACCCCAAAATCGATCTTTTTGACCCTTTTTTACCCCAAAATCGACCTTTTTCGCCCCAAAATCAACATTTTCTACCCTTTTTCACCCCAAAATCGATCTTTTTGACCCTTTTTCACCCCAAAATCGACCTTTTTCAACCCAAAATCGATCCTTTTCACCCTTTTTTACCCCCAAATTGATCTTTTTGACCCTTTTTTCCCCAAAATCTGCCTTTTTCGCCCCAAAATCAACATTTTCTACTATTTTTCACCCCAAAATCGATCTTTTTGACCCTTCTTCACCCCAAAATCGACCTTTTTCGCCCCAAAATCGGCCTTTTTCACCCTAAAATCGATCTTTTTCACCCTTTTTTACCCCAAAATCGCCCTTTTTCACCCCAAAATCGATCTTTTTCACCCTTTTTTACCCCAAAATCGACCTTTTTCGTCCCAAAATCAACATTTTCTACCCTTTTTCACCCCAAAATCGATCTTTTTGACCCTTTTTCACCCTAAAATCGGGCTTTTTCACCCCAAAATCGATCCTTTTCACCCTTTTTTACCCCCAAATTGATCTTTTTGACCCTTTTTTCCCCAAAATCGGCCTTTTTCGCCCCAAAATCAACATTTTCTACCCTTTTTCACCCCAAAATCGATCTTTTTGACCCTTTTTCTCCCCAAAATCGACCTTTTTTACCCCAAAAGCGGCCTTTTCCACCCCAAAATCGATCTTTTTCACCCTTTTTTACCCCAAAATCTGCCTTTTTCACCCCAAAATCGATCTTTTCCACCCTTTTTTACCCCAAAATCGGCCTTTTTCACCCCAAAATCGATCTTTTTGACCCTTTTTCACCCCAAAATCGGCCTTTTTGACCCTTTTTTACCCCAAAATCGCCCTTTTTCACCCCAAAATCGATCTTTTTCACCCTTTTTCACCCCAAAATCGGCCTTTTTCACCCCAAAATCGATCTTTTTCACCCTTTTTAACCCCAAAATCCGCCTTTTTCACCCCAAAATCGATCTTTTTCACCCTTTTTTAGCCCAAAAGCGGCCTTTTTCACCCCAAAATCGATCTTTTTGACCCTTTTTCACCCCAAAATCGATCTTTTTCACCTTTTGTTACCCCAAAATCGATCCTTTTCACCCTTTTTTACCCCCAAATCGGCCTTTTTCACCCCAAAATCGATCTTTTTCACCCTTTTTTACCCCAAAATCCGCCTTTTTCACCCCAAAATCGATCTTTTTCACCCTTTTTACCCCAAAATCGACCTTTTTCACCCCCAAATCGATCTTTTTGACCCTTTTTCACCCCAAAATCAGCCTTTTTCACCCCAAAATCGATCTTTTTGACCCTTTTTTACCCCAAAATCGGCCTTTTTCACCCCAAAATCGATCTTTTTCACCCTTTTTCACCCCAAAATTGAACTTTTTGACCCTTTTTTTACCCCAAAATCGGCCTTTTTCGCCCCAAAATCAACTTTTTCTACCCCCCCCGTGTTTTCCCGCCACCTCTCCTATATTTCCCGCGCTCCCACTCCAATTTCCCGCCACCACCCCCATATTTCCCGCCACAATCCCACCTTTTCCCGCCACCCCCCGAATTTCCCGCCACAACCCCATCTTTTCCCGCCACCACCCCCATTTCCCGCCACTTCCTATTTCCCACCACCACCCCCCATTTCCCGCACTCCCTCCCCATTTCCCGCCACCCCCTCCAATTTCCCGCCACAACCCCACCTTTTCCCGCCACCCCCCATTTCCCGCCAATTCCCCTATATTTCCCGCCACCCCCCAATTTCCCACCACTTCCTCTACATTTCCCACCACCACCCCCCATTTCCCGCACTCCCTCCCCAGTTTCCCGCCACTTCCCTTGTATTTCCCGCCACCCCTACATTTCCCGCCACCACCCCCCATTTCCCACACTCCCACCCCAATTTCCCGCCACCACCCCTATATTTCCCGCCCCCCCCCCCGGGCTGTTTTCCCGCCACAACCCCATCTTTTCCCGCACTCCCCCCCCCCCCCCCCCCCCCCCATGTTTTCCCTCCACCTCCTCTATATTTCCCGCCACCCCCCAATTTCCCGCCACTTCCTCTACATTTCCTGCCAACGCCCCCCAATTTCCCGCACTCCCACCCCATTTCCCGCCACTTCCTCTATATTTCCTGCCCCCCCGCCCCCCCCCCCACATTTTCCTGCCCCCGCCGGGTGTTTTCCCTCCACTTCCTCTATATTTCCCGCCACCACCCCCCATTTCCCACACTCCCACCCCAATTTCCCGCCACTTCCCCTATATTTCCCGCCACCACCCCTCTATTTCCCACCCCCCCCCGCTGTTTTCCCACCACAACCCCATCTTTTCCCACCCCCACCCCCCATTTCCCGCACTCCCTCCCCATTCCCCCCCATTGTGTTTTCCCGCCAATTCCTCTATATTTCCCGCCACCCCCCCCAAATTCCCGCCACCACCCCCCATTTCCCGCACTCCCTCCCCATTTCCCGACCCCCCCCCAATTTCCCACCACTTCTTCTCTATTTCCCGCCACCTCCCTATATTTCCCGCCACAACCCCATCTTTTCCCGCCAACACCCCCAATTTCCCGCACTCCATTTCCCGCCCCCCCCAATTTCCCGCCACTTCCTCTATATTTCCCGCCACAACCCCATCTTTTCCCGCCAACACCCCCCATTTCCCGCACTCCCTCCCCATTTCCCGCCACCCCCCCAATTTCCCGCCACTTCCCCTATATTTCCCGCCACGTCCCCTATATTTCCCGCACTCCCTCCCCATTTCCCGCCACCCCCCCAATTTCCCGCCACTTCCTCTATATTTCCCGCCACCCCTATATTTCCTGCCACCACCCCCCATTTCCCGCCACCCCCCCCAATTTCCCGCCACTTCCTCTATATTCCCCGCCACCTCCCCTATATTTCCCGCCACCACCACCCATTTCCCGCACTCCCTCCCCATTTCCCGCCAACCCCGGGTGTTTTCCCGCCATCCCCCCCAATTTCCCGCCACTTCCTCTATATTTCCCACCACCACCCCCCATTTCCCGCCACGCCCCCAATTTCCCACCCCCCCCGTATTTTCCCACCACCTCCCCTATATTTCCCGCCACCCCTCCTACATTTCCCGCCACAACTCCATCTTTTCCCGCCAACACCCCCCATTTCCCGCACTCCCTCCCAATTTCCCGCCAACCCCGGGTGTTTTCCCGCCAGCCCCCCAATTTCCCGCCACTTCCTCTACATTTCCCACCACCCCCCAATTTCCCGCACTCCCACCCCAATTTCCCGCCTTTCCTCTCTATTTCCCGCCACTCCCCCCATTTCCCGCCCCCCCCACGCAATTTCCCGCCAAACCCGTCTGTTTTCCCGCCACCTGGGGTCATTGGGTCCCGCCATGGGGCTCTTTCCCGCCATGCCGGGCACGTCGATGTGGTCCCTGAGCACCAGGAGCTGCCCCGGCTCCAGCCCCACACGAAGGCTCCCGGCGGCGTTGGTGAGGACCACGGTGTGGGCCCCGAGCAGGGCCAGAGTGCGCACCGGCAGCGCCACCTGCAGGTAAGGGGGAGCTATGGGGCTGGAGGGTGGAGCTATGGGGCTGGAGATTGATTCTATGGGGCTGGGAATGGGGTCTATGGGGCTGAGATTGATTCTATGGGGCTGAGATTGATTCTATGGGGATGGGAATGGGATCTATGGGGCTGGAGGTTGGATCTATGGGGCTGGGAATGGGAGCTATGGGGAGGACCACGGTGTGGGCCCCGAGCAGGGCCAGAGTGCGCACCGGCAGCGCCACCTGCAGGTAAGGGGGAGCTATGGGGCTGGAGGGTGGAGCTATGGGGCTGGAGGGTGGATCTATGGGGCTGGAGGGTGGATCTATGGGGCTGGAGGTTGGATCTATGGGGCTGGAGGTTGGATCTATGGGGCTGGAGGGTGGAGCTATGGGGATGGGAATGGGATCTATGGGGCTGGAGATTGATTCTATGGGGCTGGAGGGTGGATCTATGGGGCTGGAGGTTGGATCTATGGGGCTGAGATTGATTCTATGGGGCTGGGAATGGGATCTATGGGGCTGGAGGTTGGATCTATGGGGCTGAGATTGATTCTATGGGGATGGGAATGGGAGCTATGGGGCTGGAGATTGATTCTATGGGGCTGGAGGTTGGATCTATGGGGATGGAGGTTGAATCTATGGGGCTGGAGATTGAATCTATGGGGCTGGGATTGAATCTATGGGGCTGGAGGTTGGATCTATGGGGCTGGAGGTTGGATCTATGGGGCTGGAGGTTGGATCTATGGGGATGGGAATGGGATCTATGGGGCTGGAGGGTGGATCTATGGGGCTGGGAATGGGAGCTATGGGGCTGAGAGATGAATCTATGGGGCTGAGACATGAATCTATGGGGCTGGAGATTGATTCTATGGGGCTGGAGGGTGGATCTATGGGGCTGGAGGTTGGATCTATGGGGCTGAGATTGATTCTATGGGGATGGGAATGGGATCTATGGGGCTGGAGGTTGGATCTATGGGGCTGGAGGTTGGATCTATGGGATGGAGGTTGAATCTATGGGGCTGGAGATTGAATCTATGGGGCTGGGATTGAATCTATGGGGCTGGAGGTTGGATCTATGGGGCTGGAGGTTGGATCTATGGGGCTGGAGGTTGGATCTATGGGGATGGGAATGGGATCTATGGGGCTGGAGGGTGGATCTATGGGGCTGGGAATGGGAGCTATGGGGCTGAGAGATGAATCTATGGGGCTGAGACATGAATCTATGGGGCGGGAGATTGATTCTATGGGGCTGGGAATGGGATCTATGGGGCTGGAGGTTGGATCTATGGGACTGGAGGTGGGATCTATGGGGCGGGAGGTGGGATCTATGGGGCTGGAGGTGGGATCTATGGGGCTGGAGGTGGGATCTATGGGGCTGGAGCTTGGATCTATGGGGTTGGGATTGATTCTATGGGGCTGGAGATTGAATCTATGGGGCTGGGATTGATTCTATGGGGCTGGAGATTGGATCTATGGGGCTGGAGATTGGATCTATGGGGTTGGGATTGATTCTATGGGGATGGAGATTGAATCTATGGGGCTGGAGATTGATTCTATGGGGCTGGGATTGATTCTATGGGGCTGGAGGTTGGATCTATGGGGCTGGAGGCTGGATCTATGGGGCTGGGAATGGGATCTTTGGGGCTGAGGAATGAATTTATGGGGGTGGGAATGAGATCTATGGGCCTGAAAAATAAATCTATGGGGCAGGACCCACATCTATGGGGCTGGGACCTGAATCTATGGGGCAGGACCCACATCTATGGGGCTGGGACCTGAATCTATGGGGCTGGGACCCGAATCTATGGGGCTGGGACCCACATCTATGTGGCAGGACTCCCATCTATGGGGCTGGAACCTGAATCTATGGGGCTGGGACCCGAATCTATGTGGCAGGACTCCCATCTATGGGGCTGGAACCTGAACCTATGGGGCAGGGACCCGAATCTATGGGGCAGGACCCACATCTATTTGGCTCGGACCCTAATCTATGGGGCTCGGACCTGAATCTATGGGGCTGGGACCCACATCTATGGGGCTGGACCCACATCTATGGGGCTGGGACCCACATCTATAGGGCAGGACCCACATCTATGGGGCTGGACCCCCAAGTGTGGGGCTGGGACCCACATCTATGGGGCTGGACCCAAATCTATGGGGCTGGGACCCCCATCTATGGGGCAGGACCCACATCTATGGGGCAGGACCCACATCTATGGGGCAGGACCCCCAAGTGTGGGGCTCACCTGGGCGGGGCTGTAGCCCTCATAGAGGTGGAAGCGGCCCTGCAGCACCGCACAGGGGCAGCCCCCCAGGGTCCCCACCAGGAGGCGCCCGGCGTGGCCTTGAACTGAGCAGGGGGGGGGGTCAGACCCATAGAGACCCATAGGGACCCATAGGGACCCCATAGACACCCATAGAGCCCTATAGACCCCCCATAGACACCCATAGACACCCATTGACCCCTATAGAGACCCCATAGCCCCCCATAGACCTCCCATAGACACCCATTGACCCCCATAGCGACCCCATAGAGCCCTATAGACCCCCCATAGACACCCATTGACCCCCACAGAGCCCCATAGACACCCCATAGACCCCCATAGACCCCCACAGAGCCCCATAGAGACCCCATAGACGCCCATAGAGCCCTATAGACACGCCATAGACCCCCCATAGACACCCATAGAGACCCCATAGACACTCATTGACCCCCATACAGACCCCATAGACACCCCACAGAGCCCCCATAGACACCCATAGAGCCCTATAGACCCCCCATAGACACCCATAGACACCCATTGACCCCTATAGAGACCCCATAGCCCCCCATAGACCTCCCATAGACACCCATTGACCCCCATAGAGCCCCCATAGAGCCCTATAGACCCCCCATAGACCCCCACAGACCCCCACAGAGCCCCATAGACACCCATAGACCCCCATAGACACCCATTGACCCCCACAGAGACCCCATAGACCCCCATAGACCCCCCATAGACACCCACAGAGACCCCACAGACACTCATTGACCCCCATACAGACCCCATAGACACCCCACAGAGCCCCCATAGACACCCATAGAGCCCTATAGACCCCCCATAGACACCCATAGACACCCATTGACCCCTATAGAGACCCCATAGCCCCCCATAGACCCCCCATAGACACCCATAGACACCCATAGACACCCATTGACCCCCATAGAGCCCTATAGACCCCCCATAGACACCCACTGACCCCCATAGAGCCCTATAGACCCCCCATAGACACCCATTGACCCCCACAGAGACCCCATAGAGCCCTATAGACCCCCATAGACACCCATTGACCCCCATAGAGCCCCATAGACACCCCATAGACCCCCATAGAGCCCCATAGACACCCATAGACCCCCCATAGACACCCCAAAGACCCCCATAGACACCCCATAGACACTCATTGACCCCCATACAGACCCCATAGACACCCCACAGAGCCCCCATAGACACCCATAGAACCCTATAGACCCCCCATAGACACCCATAGACCCCCACTGACCCCTATAGAGACCCCATAGCCCCCCATAGACCCCCCATAGACACCTATTGACCCCCACAGAGCCCCATAGACACCCCATAGACCCCCATAGACCCCCCATAGACGCCCATAGAGCCCTATAGACACCCCATAGACCCCCCATAGACACCCACTGACCCCCATAGACACCCATAGAGACCCCATAGACACCCATTGACCCCCATAGAGACCCCATAGACACCCCAAAGACCCCATAGACCCCCACAGAGCCCCATAGACACCCATAGACACCCATTGACCCCCACAGAGACCCCATAGACCCCCATAGAGACCCCATAGCCCCCCATTGACCCCTATAGAGACCCCATAGCCCCCCGTACCGGTGCTGCGGGGGAAGTGGGGGATGTCTCCGTAATCGAAGCTCTGCGGGTCCCGCAGCTCCTGCCCCAAAGCCCCGAGGCCGGAGCCGCACACGAGGCCCACGACAGGCGCCTGCTTCAAGCGGGCCCGGAGCCAGGCCGCGGCCTCCGCGCAGGCCTCGTAACTACGACAAGAAGCAGGCCTCAATTGAGCCTCACCGCGCTCTGATTGGCTCCCCGCTCGCCTTCCTCGCTTCTGATTGGTTAAACCCGCCCCTTAAACCCGCCCACAGCTGCGCGCATGCGCGCGGGGAACTCGCCTCCCCTCCATGGCGCCGGCGCCTCCGCTCTCCCGCCCGCGCTGAGGGAGGCGGCGGTTTATATAGAGGAACGCGGCGTGGTGACGTCAGCGCGCACGGTCAAGGGAGGGCCAATGGGAGGAGGGTTGCTATGGGGAACGGGGAGGGGAAACGGGGGCCAATGGGAGGGAGCGGGGCGTTGCTATGGGAACCAAGGGGAGGGGAAACGGGAGCCAATGGGAGGGCGTGGAGCGTTGCTTAGCAACGGGGGAGACCCCCCCCCGGGGGAGGCCGGGAGAGCGGAGCCAATGGGAGGGACCAAGGGGCGGGGAAACGGGAGCCAATGGGAGGGCGCGGGGCGTTGCTTAGCAACGGGGGAGGGGAGAGCGGAGCCAATGGGAAGGGAGGCTTTGAGACGGGGGTGGGAAGAGCGGAGCCAATGGGAGGGCGCGGGGCGTTGCTATGGGGACGGGGGAGGGGAAACGGGAGCCAATAGGAGGGCGCGGGGCGTTGCTATGCGAACAGGGGAGGGGAAACGGGGGCCAATGGGAGGGGGGAGCAAATAGAAGGGTCACGTGAGGCGCGCTACCCAATAGGAAGCGGAGGGGCGGTCGCTTAGCAACGGGGCTA